GCCTTGGAGGAGTTCGAAATTACGAGAGAGGAGGTCAAGAGACACCTGCTGGATCTGGATGTTAGAAAGGCGGTTGGTCCAGATGGGATCTCACCATGGGTACTGAAAGAGTGTGCAGAGGCACTTTGCTTGCCACTCTCCATAGTGTATAGTAAGTCACTAGAGACGGGAGACCTACCAGAAATATGGAAGACGGCGAATGTGGTCCCAATATACAAAAAGGGCGACAGACAAGAGGCACTGAACTACAGGCCAGTGTCCTTGACTTGTATACCATGCAAGGTGATGGAGAAGATCGTGAGAAAAAACCTGGTAACACATCTGGAGAGAAGGGACTTCGTGACAAATCGCCAACATGGATTCAGGGAGAGTAAATCTTGCCTTACAGGCTTGATAGAATTCTACGATCAGGTGACACAGATTAAGCAAGAAAGAGAGGGCTGGGCGGACTGCATTTTCTTGGATTGTCGGAAAGCCTTTGACACAGTACCGCATAAGAGGCTGGTACATAAGCTGGAGAGACAGGCAGGTGTAGCTGGTAAGGTGCTCCAGTGGATAAGGGAGTATCTAAGCAATAGGAAGCAGAGAGTTACGGTGAGGGGTGAGACCTCCGATTGGCGTGAAGTCACCAGTGGAGTCCCACAGGGCTCTGTACTCGGTCCTATCTTGTTTCTGATATATGTAAATGATCTCCCGGAGGGTATCGATTCATTTCTCTCAATGTTTGCGGACGATGCTAAAATTATGAGAAGGATTAAAACAGAAGAGGACTGTTTGAGGCTTCAAGAAGACCTAGACAAGCTGAAGGAATGGTCGAACAAATGGTTGTTAGAGTTTAACCCAACCAAATGTAATGTAATGAAGATAGGTGTAGGGAGCAGGAGGCCAGATACAAGGTATCATCTGGGAGAGGAAATTCTTCAGGAGTCAGAGAAGGAAAAAGACTTGGGGGTTGATATCACGCCAGACCTGTCTCCTGCAGCACATATCAAGCGGATAACATCAGCGGCATATGCCAGGCTGGCCAACATACGAACGGCATTCAGAAACTTGTGTAAAGAATCATTCAGAACTTTGTATACCACATATGTCAGGCCAATCCTGGAGTATGCAGCCCCAGCATGGAGTCCATATCTAGTCAAGGATAAGACTAAACTGGAAAAGGTTCAAAGGTTTGCCACCAGACTAGTACCCGAGCTGAGAGGTATGAGCTACGAGGATAGACTACGGGAATTAAACCTCACTTCGCTGGAAGACAGAAGAGTTAGGGGGGACATGATCACCACATTCAAGATTCTGAAGGGGATTGATAGGGTAGATAAAGACAGTCTATTTAACACAAGGGGAACACGCACAAGGGGACACAGGTGGAAACTGAGTGCCCAAATGAGCCACAGAGATATTAGAAAGAACTTTTTTAGTGTCAGAGTGGTTGACAATTGGAATGCATTAGGGGGTGATGTGGTGGAGGCTCACTCCATACACAGTTTCAAGTGTAGATATGACAGAGCCCGATAGGCTCAGGAATCTGTACACCTGTTGATTGACGGTTGAGAGGCGGGACCAAAGAGCCAGAGCTCAACCCCCGCAAACACAACTAGGTGAGTAACTAGGTGAGTACACACACACACACACACACACACACACACATGTGTGTACTCACCTAATTGTGCTTGCGGGGGTTGAGCTCTGGCTCTTTGGTCCCGCCTCTCAACCGTCAATCAACTGGTGTACAGGTTCCTGAGCCTACTGGGCTCTATCATATCTACATTATAAACTGTGTATGGAGTCAGCCTCCACTACATCACTTCCTAGTGCATTCCATTTATTAACTACTCTGACACTGAAAAAATCTTTCTAACGTCTCTGTGGCTCATCTGGGTACTAAGTTTCCACCTGTGTCCCCTTGTTCGTGTCCCTCCCGTGCTGAAGAGTTTGTCTTTGTCCACCCTGTCAATTCCCCTGAGAATTTTGTAGGTGGTGGTGTGTAGGTCTTTATATAGCTATGTAGATAACTAGACGTAAGACATAACTAGACTAAACGTAAGTTATCACACACACACACACACGGTGTGTGTGTGTGTGTGTGTGTGTGTGTGTGTGAGTGCATACCTCATGTGTGTGCATATCTCTCAGCTCGGAGTCCCGAGCTGAGAGGTATGAGCTACGAGGAGAGACTACGGGAATTAAACCTCACTTCGCTGGAAGACAGAAGAGTTAGAGGGGGACATGATCACCACATTCAAGATTCTCAAAAGAATCGACAGGGTAGATAAAGACAGGCTATTTAACACAAGGGGCACACGCACAAGGGGACACAGGTGGAAACTGAGTGCCCAAATGAGCCACAGAGATATTAGAAAGAACTTTTTTAGTGTCAGAGTGGTTGACAAATGGAATGCATTAGGGGGTGATGTGGTGGAGGCTGACTCCATACACAGTTTCAAGTGTAGATATGATAGAGCCCAGTAGGCTCAGGAACCTGTACACCTGTTGATTGACGGTTGAGAGGCGGGACCAAAGAGCCAGAGCTCAACCCCCGCAAGCACAATTAGGTGAGTACACACACGTGTGTCTTTTAGCTGAGTGGACAGCGCACAGGACTCGTAATTCTGCGGCCAGGGTTCGATTCCCGGACCAGGCAGAAACAAATGGGTAAAGTTTTTTCACCCTGATGCCCCTGTTACCTAGCAGTAAATATGTACCTGGGAGTTAGACAGCTGTCACGGGCTGCTTCCTGGGTGTGTATGTGTGCGAGAAAAAAATAAACAAACTAATAGTTAGTAATAGTTGATTGGCAGTTGAGATGTGGGCCGAAAGAGTAGAGCTCAACCCCCACAAACACAACTAGGTGAATACGTGTATTGAAGGAGGGGTTATGACTCACTGTTTACCTACAGTGACAGAGAAGGGTGGATAGAGGCACCGGGTGTTTACCTACAGTGACAGGGAAGGGTGAACAGAGGCACCAGGTGTTTACCTACAGTGACAGAGAAGGGTGGACAGAGGCACCGGGCTTCTGGAAAATGTATGTACTTTGATCTGGGATGAATGTTTACTTTGATAAAGGCGGCGGTAAGGAGCAACTCAGTTAAGTAATAACTAAGTTTGGCGAATATTGAACTAAGGCTGAGGACATGAGCCAGAGCCTGGCAACTATCTCACTTGTTCTTAATGGGTCTGAAATAACTACATTTTAACTCTCCGGGGAATTGATCTGTTAATAATGAACTAACAAGAGACAATTAAGGCGGGGACAAGAGCTGAAGCACGGTAGCTGAATTGTTCTATTTTACTACAATGCCAATAACTACATTTTAAATTTTGCAGGAATGATCTATTAACAGGGAAGTTATAAGAGTGAACTAAGGCTGAGGACAGGAGATAGAGCTTGTCACCTTCTTTATCTTATTTTACTACGTTCGGAATACATCTGTTTTAAATATTGGGGAATTTGATCTGTTAATAGCAAAGTTATAAGATTAAACTAAGGCGGAGGACAAGAGCTGGCACTCGGTAACGACTTTGATCCTATTTACTATGTCCGAAATACAGCGATTTTAAATTCCACGAAAATTGTGCTAATAGTAGCGAAGTTACAGGAGTGAACTAAGCAGGTGACAGAAGCTAACACTCGGTAACTCTATTTTCTTTTCTTACCTTGTATATATATATGTATATATGTGTCTGTTTTAAATTTCAGGAAAATTGGGCTAATAGCAGCGGAGTTATAAGAGTGAAATAAGGTGGGGGACAGGAGCCAGAGCTCAGTAACAGTTTGGACATTATTTACTATGGCCACAATATGACTATATCAGGGAAATTGGACTGTTAATAGCGGAACTACACTTATAAACGTATAGAGAACAAACAAAGAAAGGTCCAAGAAAAATCATCTGGCACTGGGAATTACTTAACAAACTCTTAATGAACATATTCTCTGAAAATGGACTTCTTTCGACCTTAAACTCTTGAAGGGTGTAGAATTCCGAGTATTTTTTCAACTTAATAATTCCTTAAGACCACAGCTTAAACTTTTACTACATAAAAAATTCCTAAGACCGCGGCGAGGAATTTTTTTTCCTATGAGAAATCTTTAAGTCCGCAGCGGAAAATTGGGACAAAAATGTTTACCCTAAAACAGGTGACTGCTTAGCGGTAACTTTTTCAGGACAGACCCCCTCCTGCCCTTTTAAAGGTGACCGCTTAGCGGTAACTTTTTCAGGACAGACCCCCTCCTGACCTTTTTAAGGTGACCGCTTAGCGGTAACTTTCTCAAGACATACCCCTCCTGACCTTTTTAAGGTGACCGCTAAGCGGTAACTTTTTCAGGACAGACCCCCTCCTGACCTTTTTAAGGTGACCGCTTAGCGGTAACTTTTTCAGGACAGACCCCCTCCTGACCTTTTTAAGGTGACCGCTTAGCGGTAACTTTCTCAAGACATACCCCTCCTGACCTTTTTAAGGTGACCGCTAAGCGGTAACTTTTTCAGGACAGACCCCCTCCTGACCTTTTTAAGGTGACCGCTTAGCGGTAACTTTTTCAGGACAGACCCCCTCCTGACCTTTTAAGGTGACCGCTTAGCGGTAAGTTTTGCCCATAACCAAAAATTACAGCTTAGTGGTCTTCCCCGCTACTCAGATACATTCAAGAAATCTTACCTAAGCTGTTTGAGGTAAAGTTTGAGGGAAATAATAATTTTCTATATTGTAGAGACGTAAGTTATCAGAAAATAACACTTATTGCACAGGAAAAGATTAGTTACACCTGCCCTCAGTTGCGTTAGATATGACTATGTGATGCCCCAGGTGTGTGAGGTAATACCATGTGATGCCCCAAGTATGTGAGATATGACCATGTGATGCCCCAGGTCTATGAATGAGGTAATACCATGTGATGCCCCAGGTGTGTGAGATATGACCATGTGATGCCCCAGGTGTGTGAGATATGACCATGTGATGCCCCAGGTGTGTGAGGTAATACCATGTGATGCCCTCAGGTATGCGCCAACTTGTCGGCTCATCCGGAGGAGAGTGTGCGCGTCCAGCGAGAGTTCTCAGTCTTCACCTTCTACAACAGCATCATCTTGTCTGTGTTGCCTCTCGTCTTTGTCCTCTTCATGGGAGCCTGGAGTGACAAGTATGGACGGAAGGTCAGTTTTGGACGTCTAGTTGACGTCTCTCTCTCTCCTCCACACCTGTGGATGTCTTGTTGACGTCTCTCTCTCTCCTCCACACCTGTGGATGTCTCTCTCTCTCTCCTCCACACCTGTGGATGTCTCTCTCTCTCTCCTCCACACCTGTGGATGTCTTGTTGACGTCTCTCTCTCTCCTCCACACCTGTGGACGTCTAGTTGACGTCTCTCTCTCTCCTCCACACCTGTGGACGTCTAGTTGACGTCTCTCTCTCTCCTCCACACCTGTGGACGTCTAGTTGACGTCTCTCTCTCTCCTCCACACCTGTGGATGTCTCTCTCTCTCTCCTCCACACCTAAGACGTCTAGTTGACATCTCTCTCTCTCCTCCACACCTGTGGACGTCTAGTTGACGTCTTTCTCTCTCCTCCATACCTGTGGACGTCTTTTTGATGTCTCTCTATCTCTTAATCACAAGAATTTAATGCAATGTATTCTCGTCCTTAGCCCTTAGAGTGTTGTTTACGTCAACTGACGAAGAAAGGTTCAGCTGAGTTTCTTGTAAGATGTGTCAACTGATTTTTTTCAGTACGGAAGTTTATGAAAATTTGATGCTGTTTATAAATATAAGTTTACACTCTAAGTGTAAACATTCCCTAGCATAAACATTGACTTGAACACAATGAGAAAAGCTTAGATTTGATCAAATTAATCGTTCTCCAAAATAATAAAGTGATTTCACTGAACAGATTCCCATGTTGGTCACACTGGTGGGTCACGTGCTGTACGCTGGGGGCTACCTGCTGGCCAACTGGCAGACCAGCTGGCCGGTGGAGGTGATCTACTTTGTAACGTTCCTCGAGGCCTTGGGAGGCACTAATGCCGGCATCCTGTCCTCTACCGTCAGCTACATCAGTGACATCAGCAAGGAAGCTCAGCGCACGTCTCGCATCAGCACTGCCAACTCCATGTGGTTCTTAGGTGGCCCTATTGGCACTCTGATTGGCGCTCTGGTCATCAAATACAGCGGCTATGACTTGGCTCTGGGCCTCGTCCTGATTGCCTACTTCCTCACAGCTCTTTACGTGGTGGTCTTCATCAAGGAGAGTCACGGACCCTTCGCCAAGAAGGAGCTTCAGGCTAAAGGCTCCATCAAGGACGACTCGAGCTTGCCGATTAAGAAAGTGTCAATTGCCACAATGGTGGCAGACTTCTTCAACTGGAGGCGCGTTGTGGAGTCGTTCAAGACAGCCTTTAAGAAGCGTGACGGCAATGCCAGGACGGTCTTGTTAGCTGTGATGGCCGGCAATATGATGCGACGAATGGCCAGAGGTAAATATATTTTCCTTTCTGTTTGATACGTAAAATAAACTTATATGAAATTTTCATAGAAAGTAAATAATTACTTTCTGTGGCTTATATTAACTCCCCCTCCCCCCCCCCTCAGGATGTGACCCTACTAAAAGCTAGTTAACTCCTGGGTACCTATTTACTGTTAGGTGAAATGGAGCATAAGGTGATAGGAAATGTGCCCAACTGTTTTTGTCCCGCCCATGACATGAACCCGTAGTTCCCGAGTGTGAGGTAAGAATGCAGCCATCTGTACTACGAGACCCCTGATAGCCCTAACAGCGATGGCTTCGTAAGTTGTAAAAATAAACAAACACTAATCAAACAAACAAGTAAACATCAGTGTTGCCATCTTAACCGACACTGCTCAAACCGTCCTCTTAAAAATAACGTCACTCTTGGCTCGTGTGCGCACTATGGCCAAATTTGGACGTAATTTGAAATTAAATCGACTCACAAAAGTTGCGTTTTCTGTTTGAGTCGTCCGGTCTACGCGGACAGGTTAGGAGAGGAAACTTTCAACTAATGTTTTTCATAACATTTTGAAACTTTATGAGAATTTCCTGCCCACCTAACCTACCAGAGGACCTTTAACTTACTGTTGTTGAAAAAAAAAAAATCCCAAATTTAATTCCTTTTTTTTCATTTTCAAATTACGTCCACTTTCGGCCATACGGGCAAACGGCCAAAAACGACGTTATTTTTAAGAGGACAGGTTACCGTCTCCAAGACTTGTTTCACGTCTCTTTGACGTGAAACACTATCGCAGATATATTGATATGAGATTTGTTATTTTAAGATTTGTTATTTTTTCAGAAAGGACTGCACAAGCCCCCACGTTAAGTGGCAGAGTAGATTAAATACTTTAAAATTGGAATAAATAACGGTAATAAATAACCACCAGGCGCCAGATTCATGAAAGCACTTACGCAAGCACTTACGAACCTGTACATCTTTTCTCAATCTTCGGCGGCTTTGTTTACAGTTATCAAACAGTTAATAAGCTCCGAAGCACCAGGAGGCTGTTTATAACAATAACAACAGTTGAATGGGAAATTTTCCTGCTTGTAAACTAATAAATGTAACCAACGCCGTCAAAGATTGAGGAAAGATGTACACGTTCGTAAGTGCTTGCGTAAGTGTTTTCGTGAATCTGGCCCCAGGAGTCAAAAGAATTGAAATCCCTATCCACGAGGTTGTTGAGTTTCTGATTACAAGTGCAATAGTAATGGCTGCTCACGAGTTCTCACACCAAATGGACTTTGATGTGTGCTGCAATGAATCGGGTTCGAATCCAGAATTAGGTCTTCATTAAAGAATCGCAAGAACAGTTCGATATGTTGCAATATGTGGGATAATAACATTGGAAGGTATTGACATAGAGAAAGTTTCTTTCGCAACAATAACAACATATTCATTAAGAACAAAATATAATACAAAGAAAACAATCTGGGCGTTATGTAATGTTCTTCAGTGACACGTTAAAGACAGTTAATGACAACAAGTGTAACAACAGACTCCTATATCTTGTGCCGCTCTCAAGTGTAACAACAGACTCCTATACCTTGTGGCCTCTCAAGTGTAACAACAGACTCCTATACCTTGTGCCGCTCTCAAGTATAACAACAGACTCCTATATCTTGTGGCCGCTCTCAAGTATAACAACAGACTCCTATATCTTGTGCCGCTCTCAAGTGTAACAACAGACTCCTATATCTTGTGCCGCTCTCAAGTATAACAACAGACTCCTATATCTTGTGCCGCTCTCAAGTATAACAACAGACTCCTATATCTTGTGGCCTCTCAAGTGTAACAACAGACTCCTATACCTTGTGCCGCTCTCAAGTGTAACAACAGACTCCTATATCTTGTGGCCTCTCAAGTGTAACAACAGACTCCTATACCTTGTGCCGCTCTCAAGTGTAACAACAGACTCCTATACCTTGTGGCGCTCTCAAGTATAACAACAGACTCCTATACCTTGTGCCGCTCTCAAGTGTAACAACAGACTCCTATACCTTGTGCCGCTCTCAAGCGTAACAACAGACTCCTATACCTTGTGCCGCTCTCAAGTGTAACAACAGACTCCTATATCTTGTGTCGCTCTCAAGTGTAACAACAGACTCCTATACCTTGTGCCGCTCTCAAGTGTAACAACAGACTCCTATACCTTGTGCCGCTCTCAAGTGTAACAACAGACTCCTATATCTTGTGGCCTCTCAAGTGTAACAACAGACTCCTATACCTTGTGCCGCTCTCAAGTGTAACAACAGACTCCTATACCTTGTGGCGCTCTCAAGTATAACAACAGACTCCTATACCTTGTGCCGCTCTCAAGTGTAACAACAGACTCCTATACCTTGTGCCGCTCTCAAGTATAACAACAGACTCCTATATCTTGTGGCCGCTCTCAAGTATAACAACAGACTCCTATACCTTGTGCCGCTCTCAAGTGTAACAACAGACTCCTATACCTTGTGCCGCTCTCAAGTGTAACAACAGACTCCTATACCTTGTGCCGCTCTCAAGCGTAACAACAGACTCCTATACCTTGTGCCGCTCTCAAGTGTAACAACAGACTCCTATATCTTGTGTCGCTCTCAAGTGTAACAACAGACTCCTATACCTTGTGCCGCTCTCAAGTGTAACAACAGACTCCTATACCTTGTGCCGCTCTCAAGTATAACAACAGACTCCTATACCTTGTGCCGCTCTCAAGTGTAACAACAGACTCCTATACCTTGTGGCGCTCTCAAGTATAACAACAGACTCCTATACCTTGTGGCGCTCTCAAGTATAACAACAGACTCCTATATCTTGTGCCGCTCTCAAGTATAACAACAGACTCCTCTATGTTGTCGCTTCGGGCTGAATAATGAACTAACTGAACAATACGCGTGTTCACTTAAGAGGTAAATTGAAATTAAAACACTTGCAGCACTCTGCAATTAAATTACAAGGGAAACAGAACCAGGCGGATCATTGAGACAAACCACTTCAGTTACTCTAACTCTCGTCTCTCAAACCGACAGTCAAAACATTTGTCTAATAAATTACACTAATTGATCTCAATGATTAATTATGTTAATGGGCTGTCAACGGGACAATCAGCAACAACGTACTCTATGTAAATCACAATCTTATCTCAGACACTCTATGTAAATCACAATCTTATCTCAGACACTCTATGTAAATCACAATCTTATCTCAGACACTATGTAAATCACAATCTTATCTCAGACACTCTATGTAAATCACAATCTTATCTCAGACACTCTATGTAAATCACAATCTTATCTCAGACACTCTATGTAAATCACAATCTTATATCAGACACTCTATTTAAATCACAATCTTATCTCAGACACTCTATGTAAATCACAATCTTATCTCAGACACTCTATGTAAATCACAATCTTATCTCAGACACTCTATGTAAATCACAATCTTATCTCAGACAATAAAAGAAATCAAAACAATAGTTCGCTAACCATAATCACTCAGTCCCCAAGGACCACTTAAGCTCACAGAGACAAGAACAAGAAACATCTAAAGAAACTGACGTTTAACATACTAAAGAATACAAAAATGATGGGTGAAGTCGCCTAGGGGGGCCTCGTAGCCTGGTGGATAGCGCGCAGGACTCGTAATTCTGTGGCGCGGGTTCGATTCCCGCACGAGGCAGAAACAAATGGGCAAAGTTTCTTTCACCCTGAATGCCCCTGTTACCTAGCAGCAAATAGGTACCTGGGAGTTAGTCAGCTGTCACGGGCTGCTTCCTGGGGGTGGAGGCCTGGTCGAGGACCGGGCCGCGGGGACACTAAAAGCCCCGAAATCATCTGAAGATAGTCAACCTCTCAATAGTTCAATATCTTCTCTCTACAACCTGTGATGATTATTCTAATATACATCTATACACATGAACACTCCCCAATATACATCTATACACATGAACACTCCCCAATATACATCTATACACATGAACACTCCCCAAATATCTGAATAGACTTTTGCTGTAGAAATGTATATATTTATGTCACAATTAATTATTCATAAATAAGCCTTTATGTAAATATATGAATAATGATATTCAGGAATCATAACACAATGACACTACTCAGCGTCCAAAGTTCCTCTTGAACGCTAGTCACCGTCCAAAGTTCCTCCTGAACGCTAGTCACCGTCCAAAGTTCCTCTTGAACGCTAGTCACCGTCCAAAGTTCCTCCTGAACGCTAGTCACCGTCCAAAGTTCCTCCTGAACGCTAGTCACCGTCCAAAGTTCCTTCTGAACACTAGTCACCGTCCAAAGTTCCTCCTGAACGCTAGTCACCGTCCAAAGTTCCTCCTGAACGCTAGTCACCGTCCAAAGTTCCTCTTGAACACTAGTCACCGTCCAAAGTTCCTCTTGAACGCTAGTCACCGTCCAAAGTTCCTCTTGAACGCTAGTCACCGTCCAAAGTTCCTCTTGAACACTAGTCACCGTCCAAAGTTCCTCTTGAACGCTAGTCACCGTCCAAAGTTCCTCCTGAACGCTAGTCACCGTCCAAAGTTCCTCTTGAACGCTAGTCACCGTCCAAAGTTCCTCTTGAACGCTAGTCTCCGTCCAAAGTTCCTCTTGAACGCTAGTCACCGTCCAAAGTTCCTCCTGAACGCTAGTCACCGTCCAAAGTTCCTCTTGAACGCTAGTCACCGTCCAAAGTTCCTCTTGAACGCTAGTCACCGTCCAAAGTTCCTCCTGAACGCTAGTCACCGTCCAAAGTTCCTCCTGAACGCTAGTCACCGTCCAAAGTTCCTTCTGAACACTAGTCACCGTCCAAAGTTCCTCCTGAACGCTAGTCACCGTCCAAAGTTCCTCCTGAACGCTAGTCACCGTCCAAAGTTCCTCTTGAACACTAGTCACCGTCCAAAGTTCCTCCTGAACGCTAGTCACCGTCCAAAGTTCCTCTTGAACGCTAGTCACCGTCCAAAGTTCCTCCTGAACACTAGTCACCGTCCAAAGTTCCTCCTGAACACTAGTCACCGTCCAAAGTTCCTCTTGAACGCTAGTCACCGTCCAAAGTTCCTCCTGAACGCTAGTCACCGTCCAAAGTTCCTCTTGAACGCTAGTCACCGTCCAAAGTTCCTCTTGAACGCTAGTCACCGTCCAAAGTTCCTCTTGAACGCTAGTCACCGTCCAAAGTTCCTCTTGAACGCTAGTCACCGTCCAAAGTTCCTCTTGAACGCTAGTCACCGTCCAAAGTTCCTCTTGAACGCTAGTCACCGTCCAAAGTTCCCGCCGTCTACCTCTGGCTGATCGCTCTAACTTCGTCACTTGCGTCTTGACCAAGGTGGAGTGCGCCGCCACTCCCTCTCTCTCTCTCTGGCAAAAACCCTAAAAGATCCAGCTTTCTCATATAATTTGTTCCTCATTGTATACACTGGCTATGAAGGTCACTGTCTATCAACTAGAACCGCTGTGTATTCCTCTCCCTAACACATAGAAAATCCCAGCCAAGCAAAAGTTCTTACCTCAGAGTGTGGGTTGTGAAGGCGTTTCGTCTGCTGAATCAAAATGGCACCAGGGGCTCTTATCTCCCTTCAAAGCTGTCTTCAAGCTCCTTGGCCGCCTGGGTCGCTTTCTTCTCTGACTTGTGTGGGGGTCAACACAGGTGCCCAAACCTCCTGGCACACCTGAAACTTCGTCCACTCATTGGACAGGATGCTCTTGCAGGTTTCACAAACTCCTGAGAACGTCCGCCATCTTGGCTCCAGGGTATACGGCAAAGGTAGATACATCAGCTTCTCCTGTTCTTCTACTGCTCTGCTTTCTGTCACTAGTACTTGGGCTCTTTTCTCTAGCTGACGGAAGTCGAATTTCCACCTCAAAGTGAAAGCCAACAAAGTGTGTCTCTCCCCTCTGACCTCTAACACACAACTGAGGGTCCAGCCAATCTACGACTCCCACGTCATGGCCCTGCCTCTCTCCCATTGGCTAATGGTGACATCATCCTTCCATTTTAAAACTTTTAGCTAATAAACTTATAAGACATTAATTAGAACACTTTTGATATTCATGGCACCATGAATATGAATTTTGGAGGTAACTTTGTTCGGGTTCATTCTCGACTAAAAGTCGAAAACTCCAGGTTCGAATTCAGGGCGGGACTGAAATGGTTGGGCACATTTACTATCACCTAATGCCTCTGTTCACCTAGCGGTAAGTAGGTACTCAGGAGGTAGTCAGGTTGTCGTGGGGTTGATTCCTGGGCGGTGTTCAGTAATTCGGCCTTAGGGGGAGATGTTGGGGGGGGGGGGGGGAGGCGCATTGATATAATCCTAACATGTATGAATACACTCTGTCTGCCTGTCCCCCGACAAAATGAATTATTATTACCATATTCAGAGAGAATGTGCGTGTGCCATTTCCGCAGCTCAACATTACCAAGCAGGATACACAGGGTTCGAGTCCGCCGGATTAGTTAAAATGTTAAGTAATAATAAACACGAAGATTGTAGGATTTACACTCAACCTGTCCTCTTACTAAGAGCGTCGCTTTTCGCTCGTAGGCGTTACATAAGGCCAAAAATTGTCGTACTAGAAAATGGAAGCCGCTGGCGAAAGTGACGGACAATCCCGTTTTCTGTTTTTTTTTGTGGGGAGGGGAGGTGGGCCCCTCAGGTAGGTCAAGGGAGACTACTTTAAATTTGCCGTTTTCTTGACGGTGGTAACCTTTTTTTTTTTTTTTTTTTTTTTTTGAGATATATACAAGAGTTGTTACATTCTCGTACAGCCACTAGTACGCGTAGCGTTTCGGGCAAGTCCTTAATCCTATGGTCCCTGGAATACGATCCCCTGCCGCGAAGAATCGTTTTTTCATCCAAGTACACATTTTACTGTTGCGTTAAACAGAGGCTACAGTTAAGGAATTGCGCCCAGTAAATCCTCCCCGGCCAGGATACGAACCCATGACATAGCGCTCGCGGAACGCCAGGCGAGTGTCTTACCACTACACCACGGAGACTGTGGTTGGACGACCTTAGGACGACGGGCTGCTAAACTAAGTATCTGAAACATAACTGACAGCAGTTCTTTTGTTCTTTGGTCACACACAACTCGCTACATTTTCAGCGCCATCCAGTATAAAGAGCTACACGATAAAGGCTTAAAGAAGAACACAGGGGCACCCAATACCCCTGTGAGAGCCGGTGGCTGAGCGGACAGATCACTGGATGCGTGATCCTGTGGTCCTGGGTTCGATCCCGGGTGCCGGGGAGAAACAATGGGCAGAGTTTCTTTCACCCAGATGCTCCTGTTACCTAGCAGTAAATAGGTACCTGGGAGTTAGTCAGCTGTCACGGGCTGCTTCCTGGGGGTGGAGACCTGGTCGAGGACCGGGCCGCGGGGACACTAAGCCCCGAAATCATCTCAAGATAATCCAGTTTTGAAAACGTCAGAAAACAATGAAATCTGAGTGAAATCTGCTTTCTACAAACCAAATTCACAGTCTCCGTGGTGTAGTGGTAAGACATTCCGCGAGCTATGTCATGGGTTCGTATCCTGGCGGGGAGGATTTACTGGGCGCAATTCCTTAACTGTAGCCTCTGTTTAACGCAACAGTAAAATGTGTACTTGGATGAAAAAACGATTCTTCGCGGCAGGGGATCGTATTCCAGGGACCGTAGGATTAAGGACTTGCCCGAAACGCTACGCGTACTAGTGGCTGTACAAGAATGTAACAACTCTTGTATATATCTCAAAAAAAAAAAAAAAAAAAAAAAAATCCTTACGTGGGTTGAGCTCGGCTCTTTGGCCCTGCCTCTCAACTGGTGAAAAAGTTCCTGATATTATTGGATTTATCTCAGGAATATCATTCCTGTGAGTATTACAATAGTTGGACATATATGTTCATCTTAAATATGTAGGTTGCTAGATAGGGGAGGCCAGTGCCTAGGCCGACCCAGAAGGTTATACTTCATCCCGTGGCGTAGTGGGAAGAGGCTCGCCTGGCGTTTCACGAGCGCTTTGTCCCGGGTTTGTATCCTGGCAGAGGAAGATTTACTGTGCACCAATCCTTAACTGTAGCCTATGTTCACCCAACAGTAAAATGGGTACATGATTGTTAAACAATTTGGTGGGTCGTATTCCAGGGACTATTAGGATCAATCACTTGGCCGAAACGCTACGCGTGCTGGTGGCGGTACAAGAATGTGAGAACTCTTGTATATATATATATAAATAAATAACCTCATTATGTCCGGTCGTGATGGTCAAGTGGATTAAGGCGTCTTGTACATACCAGTTGCGTGGCTCCTGGGAGTATGGGTTTGAGTCACTTCTGGGGTGTGAGTTTTCAGTTGCATATTGTCCTGGGGACCATTCAGGCTTGTTCGCATAAATAAATAAATAAAAAATAAATAAATAAATGGTGTTTGCCAATGAATAATAAACAACTGTCAAAACTCTATGGACTTGGCCCCGAACATTTAATTTCCACAGACTTCACGAAGGGCATATGAAGCCGATCATGATCCTCCTATGACCGTCCCATTATACCCACTAGTCACCCTGCAAAGTTTAGTTAGGCTGGCCGCAAGCGTCTCCAAACTTGGACAGATAAACATTCTCTCATATGGACATAAGGGAAGGTCGACAACTTGTTTCCGGGTAAATGCCACAACCCAACTTTTGGTTTTGGAGAACATAAAACATTGAAAGCAAAAAACTAGTCGATATGGAAGACCATATAAGATCTTTTATGTAAGATCTCATCTTGCAAGAATGTAAGAACTCTTGTATATACAAAAAACAAAAAAGTTACTTTGATTTACATATGCAGTACCGTAAAAGGACTTATGGCATAAGTCCTTAAAAGTTTTATGTCTTCTCAGGATTCTTCATGTACCTGTTCGTCCGCCGGACCTTGCACTGGGACGCTACCGAGTACGGCTACTGGATCACCTACCGCAACCTGATGGCAGCCCTCGGTACGTCGCCAAGAACTTTATGTTCTTACTGACCTAAAAAAAAGAATTCACATCAACAAACTAAATCAAAATCCACTATTAATCGTCTAAAAGTAATGTTTATCCTGATCGCTTGCAGGTTCACTGTTCCTGGTGCCGTTCCTGACGCGGCTCCTGTCCTTCACTGACGCCTCGCTGGTGGTGGCCGGGGCCGTGTCCATGATCGGGGAGTATCTATGTTATGGTCTGGTCAATGGCCCTCCCCAGGAATTCCTCATCTGGCTGGGACCGCCAGCAGGCCTAATCTCTAACGCAATTGTGATCGCATTCAAGTCCATGTCCACCAAACTTGTCACCACCGAGGAGAAAGGTTAGTTCACTTTCGTTCAGATTACAGCCAGTCTTCCTAAGGGTTCCCAAGGGTTGGTATCCTGGTCGGGGAAGATTGACTGGGCGCCAATCTTTAACTGTTGCCTCTGTTCACCCAGCAGTGAATGGGTACCTGGTTGTTAACGATTTGGAGAATGGTATTCTAGGGGGGAATTAGGATTAAGGACCCGAAACGATATGTGTGCTAATGGCTATACAAGAATAAAAGAACTCTTGTATATAAATAAATAAAAATAAATATATTTATTTTAGTATATGGGATACGACCTCTGGCTGGAAGAATACGACCCACAGCCTCGGAGAAAAGCACACACAAAGCATTAGAGGAGATTTTTAGGTCCCCTCGAAGGCAGTTTCCATGTTCTTTTTGTTCTACCAATCACCTTCCCATTTTAGTATACTCTTGTATACTCTATTTAAGTCTGCCCTAAATTACAGTTGGAGATCAAAGAGATTATGAACAGACTCTTCCATCGCATTTTCAAAACCTGATATGCAAAATATATGAATATAATCTATACAAAATTTGCTATTGTGAAAAGATTTTCTCTTATTTGAAAACAACTAACCCAATTATTATTTTTAAAATATTTAAATATTCACACACACTGTAGAATACACCAATAGCAAGAACTTTCCAAGGTATGACATAGTTGGTCAATATCGGACCTAATCTAAGCTAACCTTGCCAATGTAACCTTGTACATTTGTGTAGTAGTTCCCAAACCAAAGACTAGACAAATTCAACTAAAAAGAATGTGTATTATGTGGTACTTGCCTTCGTTATCTATACTAGCATTTAAACGCGTACTAACTAGGCAGATCCTCTTGTAAATATTTCAATTGATGATTGATGTTGATCAGGTCGCATCAACGCGGTGATGGCGGCCCTCAACGGTCTGATGCCCATGATGGGCTACGCCGTCTACTCTCCTCTCTACTACAACACTGTCGACACCTTCCCCGCTGCCCAGTTCTTCTTTGCTGCCAGTCTCAACGTCATCATCATGGTCACTTTCATGTAAGTCAATATTGTTGTCACTGTCGAGTATGTAAACCTTTATTGTCACTGTCGAGTATGTAAACCTTTATTGTCACTGTCGAGTATGTAAACCTTTTTGTCACTTTCATGTAAGTCATTATTGTTGTCACTGTCGAGTATGTAAACCTTTTTGTCACTTTCATGTAAGTCAATATTGTTGTCACTGTCGAGTATTTAAACCTTTTTGTCACTGTCGAGTATGTAAACCTTTATTGTCACTGTCGAGTATGTAAACCTTTATTGTCACTGTCGAGTATGTAAACCTTTATTGTCACTTTCATGTAAGTCAATATTGTTGTCACTGTCGTGTAAGTATATCCTTATAGTCACTCTTGTTTAAGTCAAAATTCATGGTCAATTGCATGGAATTCAATTTTCGTAATCACTTTCATCCAAGTCAAATTTCACATTTTATACATCCACTTCCAAACATTAATCTACCTCTAATATAAAACTTAACCCTTGGTTTGGTGTTGGGTTTAGGGCCTATCAACCTCTGGAGGGTTATTAAGACCACCACAACACCTTACTGACCAACCAGCAAGTATACTTTAGTCCTATCAACCTCTGGAGGGTTATTAAGACCACCACAACACCTTACTGACCAACCAGCAAGTATACTTCAGTCCTATCAACCTCTGGAGGGTTATTAAGGCCACCACAACACCTTACTGACCAACCAGCAAGTATACTTTAGTCCTATCAACCTCTGGAGGGTTATTAAGGCCACCACAACACCTTACTGACCAACCAGCAAGTATACTTTAGTCCTATCAACCTCTGGAGGGTTATTAAGGCCACCACAACACCTTACTGACCAACCAGCAAGTATACTTTAGTCCTACCAACCTCTGGAGGGTTATTAAGACCACCACAACACCTTACTGACCAACCAGCAAGTATACTTTAGTCCTATCAACCTCTGGAGGGTTATTAAGACCACCACAACACCTTACTGACCAACCAGCAAGTATACTTTAGTCCTATCAACCTCTGGAGGGTTATTAAGACCACCACAACACCTTACTGACCAACCAGCAAGTATACTTTAGTCCTATCAACCTCTGGAGGGTTATTAAGACCACCACAACACCTTACTGACCAACCAGCAAGTATACTTTAGTCCTGTATATAATCCAGGACAAAAAGTAACCTCAGTATATACTCACTTTATATAGTCCTTGTGTATGTCATAACCTTTAGATAACGGCTTAAATCATAACATTTGTCACTGTTGAGACTAATAAGAACTGAGCAATGATTATGGAACCCTATAACCCTCAAGATGAGGCATATCTCTGGCCATTGTTACCAGATAAAGAGATTATCCTGATATTGTGCAACATTAATTACTTGTAAAGAATGTTGGGGCATGTTGCAAGGTTGTGCACAAGTATATTTATACAATTAATTCCGTTTTCATTTATTTTTGATTGTTGTGTGAATACTCTGAGTTTACTTTTGTCTTGGACAATGTTGAGGACTAAAGTATGCTCGCTGGTTGGTCAGTAAACAATTGTGGTGACGTTAACCTACCAGTGGTTAATTGGCTCGTTAATTTGCCTAACACCACGCTAACACACAGATACGCACCTTGCTGGACCAACTGTGTCCATGAAGTTTTACGTCCACTTGTTGACTATTAGTCAATATGACTATCTCTGTCTATCTCTATCTGTCTGTCTCTATCTGTCTCTATCTCTATCTCTCTATCTCATATCTCTCTATGATATGAGTATGACTATCTCTCATTTTTTCAGCGTGGTGGAAGTGGTGCGTCATACGTCTTCCCACGACGCAGAGGACCTGGAAGCCGGAAGTAAGACGCATGGAGTTTGGATCACAGAGCTCTTCAAGAAGAGGCCGTCTGCCACTGTCAGTTCCGTTGCTAGAACTCTGAACAGTGTGAGAAAAAGACGCACATCCCAGAAATGCGAAGAGACGTCTACCCCAATCCCACGAGAGACGTCTACCTCATCCCCACAAGAGACGTCTACCTCAACCCCACAAGAGACGTCTACCTCGAGCCAACAGGAGACGACTCTTACTAACCTCCAATCATCCACCAGCCCCCTGGAGACATCCTCCGCGCTCCACGCCTCCATCGATGAAAACACTGAGGCAGCTGTTGCTTCAGGTGACAACAGGCCGCCAACAGTGGGAAGCAAGAGTCTGAAAAGTGAGGCAAATGAGGCAAGAGATACCACAAAGAAGCAAGAAGCACCCGGGTGCTACGCAAGCGGATTAAGCGACGCAGAGATCACAGCGTCGGAAAGGTTACCAGCGGAGAATATCGCCGAGAACGAGGCCGTTCGAGACTCATCACACAATAAACACAAAACCCAGTGACAAGCGAGCACAAACACACCAAAATGAGCAGCAGTATTTTTTTCCGTTGATTTAAGCAGGTACTTGTGCAAACAGTGGTTAGCAGAGGCGATTCATAACAGAATAGACCCGAGTTCGATTCCCGGGCAGGACGAGACATCTGCGCATATTTCCTTTGTTCACCTAGCAGTAAATACACATGAATTAGACAACTGTTGTGACTTATATCCTGAAGATAGTAAGTCCTTGGCCTAGGGGTACCTTACACCTGATGCCTTTGTTCACCTAGCAGTAAAAACAGGTACCCGGGAGTTAGTCAACTGTTGTGGATTGCATCTTCCTCTCCCCTGACAATGGGCAACTATACAGAGTTGGCCCATTTTGGTGAGTTACCCCTACATACAGTTCTCTTACCGTGACCAACACGGACCAGCCTCCAGGGGACTGAGGACAAATATTTATATCCTGTAGCTCATATGTAATTACAGTACATTATATATTTTATTTATTTTCTATTGTGTGACTAACTCTAACACACATTTGTATATATTTTATCAAAGATATTTTCCAAAGAAGCTGTCGAGTATTTTTTCTTCCTTATATTTTGGTGTTAATATATATATATATATATATATATATATATATATATATATATATATATATATATAAGCCTATACTTGCATAAACCACAAGTGAAGATTAAATAATCTTTGGACAACACCCACCAGTGGGACTCGAACCCAGAAAGCACAACTACCTTCCAGTAGCAGGCATAACTAGTATGCTTTAACCCACTACACCATCAGACCTTTCAAAAGAAGTAGATAGTTCGAGATATATATATCTCAAACATCTCTACTTCCCGAAGGCACCAGATGAGTGTGGGGTCAGTCTGCATTTTCCATCAAGCCACTGTCAATGTGAGACACGAGTTCTCTCACATTGACAGTGGCTTGATGGAAAATGCAGACTGACCCCACACTCATCTGGTGCCTTCGGGAAGTAGAGATGTTTGAGATATATATATCTCGAACTATCTACTTCTTTTGAAAGGTCTGATGGTGTAGTGGGTTAAAGCATACTAGTTATGCCTGCTACTGGAAGGTAGTTGTGCTTTCTGGGTTCGAGTCCCACTGGTGGGTGTTGTCCAAAGATTTATATATATATATATATATATATATATATATATATATATATATATATATATATATATATATATATATATATATATATATATATATATATATATATATATATATATATTGCGTGTATAGGGACCCTCGGCTTTGAAGAAAACGATATGCAGCATCCGGGGGAGCTTTGTGGGGCACCACGCATATATTTTGAATACAATATATAATTAAAATAAAATAAAGCACATCGGGGCTGGAAGAGAACAGTCACTGGAAGCGTCACGAGTGGGAGCTACGGTAAAAAAAACCCACCAAACCCAAGCAATAGTAAGACGCAACTTTGATTTCAAGGAAAAGAAAGTAGTTATAGAACTACATAAATCTCTGGTGCGGCCCACTTGGCTTTTTGTATCCAGGCATGAAGACCTCATCTTCAGGAGGATAGCTGGTCTGGAGAAGGTGCAACACCGGGCAACAAAAGTCCTTCCAGGGCTAAGTCAGCTCTCGTATCAGGAACAGTTGAGGGGCCACAGCACTAACAACATTACAAACCAGACACGACAAGGCGGATCTCACAGAAACTTGAAATACTGAACAATTTGGATGATGTTGATCTAGACCTCTTCTTCATGAGGTCAGATGTAACACAAACAAGGAACAACAGTGACAAGCTCAACAAGCCACAATGTAACACAAACAAGGAACAACAGTGACAAGCTCAACAAGCCACAATGTAACACAAACAAGGAACAACAGTGACAAGCTCAACAAGCCACAATGTAACACAAACAAGGAACAACAGTGACAAGCTCAACAAGCCACAATGTAACACAAACAAGGAACAACAGTGACAAGCTCAACAAGCCACAATGTAACACAAACAAGGAACAACAGTGACAAGCTCAACAAGCCACAATGTAACACAAACAAGGAACAACAGTGACAAGCTCAACAAGCCACAATGTAACACAAACAAGGAACAACAGTGACAAGCTCAACAAGCCACAATGTAACACAAACAAGGAACAACAGTGACAAGCTCAACAAGCCACAATGTAACACAAACAAGGAACAACAGTGACAAGCTCAACAAGCCACAATGTAACACAAACAAGGAACAACAGTGTCAAGATCAACAAGCCACAATGTAACACAAACAAGGGACAACAGTGACAAGCTCAACAAGCCACAATGTAACACAAACAAGGAACAACAGTGACAAGCCACAATGTAACACAAACAAGGAACAACAGTGACAAGCCACAATGTAACACAAACAAGGAACAACAGTGACAAGCCACAATGTAACACAAACAAGGAACAACAGTGACAAGCTCAACAAGCCACAATGTAACACAAACAAGGAACAACAGTGACAAGCTCAACAAGCCACAATGTAACACAAACAAGGAACAACAGTGACAAGCTCAACAAGCCACAATGTAACACAAACAAGGAACAACAGTGACAAGCTCAACAAGCCACAATGTAACACAAACAAGGAACAACAGTGACAAGCTCAACAAGCCACAATGTAACACAAACAAGGAACAACAGTGACAAGCTCAACAAGCCACAATGTAACACAAACAAGGAACAACAGTGACAAGCTCAACAAGCCACAATGTAACACAAACAAGGAACAACAGTGACAAGCTCAACAAGCCACAATGTAACACAAACAAGGAACAACAGTGACAAGCTCAACAAGCCACAATGTAACACAAACAAGGAACAACAGTGACAAGCTCAACAAGCCACAATGTAACACAAACAAGGAACAACAGTGACAAGCTCAACAAGCCACAATGTAACACAAACAAGGAACAACAGTGACAAGCTCAACAAGCCACAATGTAACACAAACAAGGAACATTTATGTAAAAATAATTAATAATAAACAAAATACATATTTAATTATGTATTAATTATTATAAATTCAAAATATAAAATTAAAAGAGACTAGAAGAAGCAAAAATATTGATAAACGTATAAGTTTTAAGCCTTATTCAAAGCTAATGAAAGAGGAGAAACACCAGAGAAAACCAACCCACACCGTTGAGTTGAATAGAAGTAAAACCTATTTAGAAAATATGAAGAGATTCTATTAATCTAACGTCAAAGATACTAGTACAACTATTCACAATACTGAAGTCTAAACCTTGAATCAGGTTAAATATGGTAAGGAATAAATGTGTATATTTATTAGCCTAGATGTAAAATATATTCTTATGGGCTAAAGTAAACGGTATAATAAACTTTACATACAAGAGTTTTTACATTCTTGTAAAGCCACTATTACGCGTAGCGTTTCGGGCAAGGTCCTTAACCCTAATTTCCCCGGAATACGACCCCGCCGAATCGTTTAACAACCAGGTACCCATTCACTGCTGGGTGAACAGAGGCTACAGTTAAGGATTGGCGCCCGGTCAATCCTCCCCGGCCAGGATTCGAACCCAAGGCAAGGCGCTTGCGAAACGCCAGGCGAGTGTCTTACCACTGCGCCACGGGGACTGTTGACTCAACTCAAGAGTATATACAGTATACACCTAAAGTCCACTACGGGCCCGTGCTACTTGAAACTTCTGTTCCGAGTAGGTGAATCTATACAACAACAACGACAACAGCTTCCTAGATTATAGTTCAAGACTAAGGTATGCTTGCCGGATGGTCAGTAAGGTGTTGTGGTGGCCTTAATAACCCTCCAGAGGTTGATAGGACTAAAGTATACTCGCTGGTTGGTCAGTAAGGTGTTGTGGTGGTCTTAATAACCCTCCAGAGGTTGATAGGACTAAAGTATACTTGCTGGTTGGTCAGTAAGGTGTTGTGGTGGCCTTAATAACCCTCCAGAGGTTGATAGGACTAAAGTATACTTGCTGGTTGGTCAGTAAGGTGTTGTGGTGGCCTTAATAACCCTCCAGAGGTTGATAGGACTAAAGTATACTTGCTGGGTGGTCAGTAAGGTGTTGTGGTGGTCTTAATAACCCTCCAGAGGTTGATAGGACTAGAGTATACTTGCTGGTTGGTCAGTAAGGTGTTGTGGTGGCCTCAGTAAGGTGTTGTGGTGGCCTTAATAACCCTCCAGAGGTTGATAGGACTAAAGTATACTTGCTGGTTGGTCAGTAAGGTGTTGTGGTGGTCTTAATAACCCTCCAGAGGTTGATAGGACTAAAGTATACTTGCTGGTTGGTCAGTAAGGTGTTGTGGTGGCCTTAATAACCCTCCAGAGGTTGATAGGACTACAGTATACTCGCTGGTTGGTCAGTAAGGTGTTGTGGTGGTCTTAATAACCCTCCAGAGGTTGATAGGACTAAAGTATACTTGCTGGTTGGTCAGTAAGGTGTTGTGGTGGCATTAATAACCCTCCAGAGGTTGATAGGACTAAAGTATACTTGCTGGTTGGTCAGTAAGGTGTTGTGGTGGTCTTAATAACCCTCCAGAGGTTGATAGGACTAAAGTATACTTGCTGGTGGGTCAGTAAGGTGTTGTGGTGGTCTTAATAACCCTCCAGGGGTTGATAGGACTAAAGTATACTTGCTGGTTGGTCAGTAAGGTGTTGTGGTGGTCTTAATAGCCCTCCAGAGGTTGATAGTACTAAAGTATACTTGCTGGTTGGTCAGTAAGGTGTTGTGGTGGTCTTAATAACCCTCCAGAGGTTGATAGGACTAAAGTATACTTGCTGGTTGGTCAGTAAGGTGTTGTGGTGGTCTTAATAACCCTCCAGAGGTTGATAGGACTAAAGTATACTTGCTGGTTGGTCAGTAAGGTGTTGTGGTGGTCTTAATAACCCTCCAGAGGTTGATAGGACTAAAGTATACTTGCTGGTGGGTCAGTAAAGTGTTGTGGTGGTCTTAATAACCCTCCAGAGGTTGATAGGACTAAAGTATACTTGCTGGTTGGTCAGTAAGGTGTTGTGGTGGTCTTAATAACCCTTCAGAGGTTGATAGGACTAAAGTTTACTTGCTGGTTGGTCAGTAAGGTGTTGTGGTGGTCTTAATAACCCTCCAGAGGTTGATAGGACTAAAGTATACTTGCTGGTTGGTCAGTAAGGTGTTGTGGTGGTCTTAATAACCCTCCAGAGGTTGATAGGACTAAAGTATACTTGGTGGTTGGTCAGTAAGGTGTTGTGGTGGTCTTAATAACCCTCCAGAGGTTGATAGGACTAAAGTATACTTGCTGGTTGGTCAGTAAGGTGTTGTGGTGGTCTTAATAATCCTCCAGAGATTGATAGGACTAAAGTATACTTGCTGGTTGGTCAGTAAGGTGTTGTGGTGGTCTTAATAACCCTCCAGGGGTTGATAGGACTAAAGTATACTTGCTGGTTGGTCAGTAAGATGTTGTGGTGGTCTTAATAACCCTCCAGAGGTTGATAGGACTAAAGTATACTTGCTGGTGGGTCAGTAAGGTGTTGTGGTGGTCTTAATAACCCTCCAGGGGTTGATA